GGCTTTGGTGTATGACTGCATGCACTTACCCCGTTAACTTAAGCTGATATGCAGGGTTTATTTCCGTTTTGGAGGTCAGAAGTGGAAAAAATTTGCTCAATTAGTCTGGCATTTCCTGCTACTATTGGTTTTAGTAAAAAAAAATATCCTACAGTGACCATTTAAAAGGAAAATTAGAGCACAAATTATAAAGAATCTGATTTATGACAATAAACCTTGTCTTTTAAATAGATTTGATTTATACATCTTAATTCCATGGTACAAAACTCTTCTATTTCTACTCTTACTTTTACTGTTGTCAGTGGATTCCTTACTAAATAGTGTCGTCTGTCTTTGCTTTTTCTAGGCCTGTGGACTCACAGAAAGAGATATTGCTACAATTAAATTACTTAATGAAACTAGAGATATGCTAGAAAGGTATCGAGAAATATCCCATATTCATATTAAACTTCTCCTCACAACTATTGTTTATGTGAGACAATTACTTTTGTATAAAAAGCTGACAACTTTCGTTTGCGAAATGTGACCACTATGCTGCATTAAATTTTTATACTCACTAATCATAGGCTCGGATTTTCAAAATTTTAGAGCTCTGAAATTCATTTATAAGAAGTAATCCTGCCTTAATGAGATGACCAGGATGTCCTTCCCGGTCAGACCCCCTTATCTCTCCCTCACCTTTTCTGTAGTTACACAGGAACAGAGTACTTCTTCTCTTCTGCTAAAGCACGGTCAATTGAGAGTAATTTTATTGGATTTACTTGCTTTGATAAAATGAGCACCAGTTTTGGCTTATCAGAATTTATTTTTAATGCATGGTCTTGAGAGTGGTTGTATGCATCCTTTTGCCAGAGAGCTACTGAAGGGAGGCTTCTATAATAAACACTGAATATGAGGGAATGGAGCCAAAAGCCAAACTGTTCTTACAGTTTAGCTGCTAGAGATCTGGGGCATTTTGAGGAGAAGTCCCTTCTACGTGTTACTTAATATGAAAGAGAAGTGAGGAATGCTTTAGATTTGTCTGGGTTTTAGTAATTCTAGGGTAGCGTTTAGGTTGTTGACTGGTTTGCTGTGGAGTTACTGGGGAGCTGTTCTTTTTCAAGGTGACAGTACGAATGGCCTTTTGTCTGGGTCATACATCTTCCCTTATGGGAGGGACATCTGTAGCACTGAATACTTGCAGGGTTTTTTAGTCTGAAAAAATAAATCCCAGGAATCAAACCACTTACTCCTTTTTTTTTTTTTTTTTTTCTCTCCAGTCCAGACTTCAGTACGGTTTTGAGCACATGTTTAAATAGAGGGTTCAGTCGACTGCTGGACAATATGGCGGAGTTTTTTAGACCTACTGAACAGGAGCTCTCTCAGAACAGCTCTGTAAATAGGTAAATGTTTTCTTTTGTTGTGGTTCTCATGTGAATAATGCTTTGGGTTCACAGTGAATGCCAAAAAAGGCTATGGATTGTCCTGCCTACTTGAAGTTGCCATACTTGAGATAATTCTGCTGCTTGCTTGTCAAGGATAAATGCAGTCTCCTCACTTTGGTCAAGCAGACAGCTACGAGTATTGCATGCTTCTTCCTACCCGTGAAATTGTTAGAATTTACGTGAGGTGTCTCTCCCACCATTACTTGCAGACCTGAAAGTAGCACTCAGAACCTTCCCCTTGTTGCCAAGCCCGTGCAGGCAGGCTGCCTTTCTAGCCAAGGAGGGTGTGCTGCGCTGGGGGTGGCTGCTGCGAGCGGTACCGCAGTACCTCCCCGGCGAGGCCTGGGGAAGGACGGCGTTCCCCAGCGCCGGGCAGACAGGCTCTGACTGTCAGCTGCTGTGGCTCGCAACGAAGGTGGGCGTTACGGTGATTCTCCAAATGCACATAGCCAAAGCACCTGCAGAGCTTCAGGCTCTTCGCTGGTATGCTGAAAAAAAGGTTATTGGCATTCAGGATCTTCTGCCTCTTCCAAGACAGCTGCTTAAAAATAGCTTTTATTCTGAAGTTAACTTTGGTTTTAAACAGTGCAGTGAGAGTGTTACAAATCCAAAAGCTGAGTTTAAATCATTGAAATATGATTTCTAAAATATTAAAATTAAAACCTTGAATAATAACTGGGTTTATGTATATGTTAATAACTGATGGCTCTCAGAGTTATGTTTTAATTACATATACTATTTGCATCACTTAAAATATCCCAAAGGGTGTAGTTTGGCTGTATGTCCTAAGCCTGGTTTAGTTTGAAATAGCGTGAGACTGTAGAGTGACACTTCTAACAACTGTTTACAGACACACCTGTGAAGACCGGCTAAACCAGATTTCTCTTGCATGAGAACCAAGCGTGAAACTGTGTGCAATAGGAACACCAGCTGAAGTTTGCTTCAGTACTTCTCTATGTTAAATGAAAGACTTGGTAGGGGAAAAAAAACCACCTTCATTGGTACATTTTAGTTTTGCAGTCTTTCAACTCTTACTTTTGAAGTCATAATTATTTAGAATTGTAATAATCACAGTTTAGTGGCTTTACTAATGCCTAAGGTCTGCTAAGGTCTAGGTGAATATTTTTTGTTCTTTTCTAGCCTCTCCAGTGTCAGTCTTCCTTTAGCCAAGATAATTCCAATAATAAACGGACAGATCCATTCAGTATGCAGTGAAACACCCAGTCACTTTGTTCAGGTAAGAATCTGGCTCATTTAAAGTATCCCAATTAAAATTTTGAAATGAATGTTGAATATTTCTTTTTAATCATGTACTTCATTCTGTTTCATTTCAGTGGCTTTAAAAAAAAAAAAGTAGAAACAATCAGCATAGCTTAAAACTTTGTAAACTTGTATCCTCCAAAAATAGGCTATTTTTCTAGAACCTTTTCCCTCTACTAAACTGCAGAAGCACAAAAAGGTCTCTTGACTTGGTTCTACTTGTAGTTTTACCTGTAAACCTTTCTAAAGCAAGAAAGTTGAGTTATATTTCTGGGGGAGTGCCAGGTGCTTTTCTCATGACGAATTATGCGCTGCAGCAAAGCCAGAATAGTGGATGTGTTTGATTAAGCAAATTTATTCTTTAAATTTCTTCCAGGACCTGTTGATGATGGAACAAGTGAAAGATTTTGCTGCTAATGTTTATGAAGCTTTTAGTACCCCTCAGCAACTAGAGAAATGAACTGCACATTTATAGGAGTAGATTGTGTATTTATAACAAATCCCTTGTGACTACTGATGAGACTTGGGTTAATTTTATAATGGTGTAGGAGTGGTAGGCCAGCAGAAAGAACATTCTGAAAAAAGTGGGAGTGAGCCCAGATTTGTTCTAATAGAACTCTGTTTCAAACACCCATTAAAAATATTCTTGTTGAAAGAATCATTGTATGCAAAGACTTTTCTATTAAAAAATTGATTAAACTCTTCCATAATTCATTTGATTATTTTTGTTGCATCTGGCGGCAGTATTACAAGAAGTTATTAAAAAAAAAACCCTGTTGTTTGGCTGAAGTGTGGAAGTTTTGGAAAAAGCTAATGAGAGTGATCTAAGAATAGCACAGAGTAGCAGAAAGAGGTAAGGCTTCTTTCTCCTTCTTCTCCCAGATTTTTCTTTTTATAAAGGAAAAATTTTTTTTCCTTAATTTTAGAAATGCTATTCCAAAGAGTCTCTCATTGTTTGGAAGGCCTTTGCCAGCTGATGCACGCTCCTCTTGAACAAGCTGGGGGGGTGGTCTCTCTGTTACTTACTGCTAAAGGAATGTGGATTTTTAGAAGTTCTCTTGTTTATGCTGTTCAAACAGCCACACTGTACACATTAACCTGTAAATATTTTATCTTAATTTGTATTAATTCTGAGCCCAGTTGTCTGTACTGTAATAAAATATTTTAATGTAAAATTTGTGTGTGTATTAACATTACTAGAAGAAAAGCAGTAACCTCATTTGGCCCATCAGTTAAAGTCTTGGCATAGTTGAAAGAGTAAGTTTAACTTGCACAATAATAGTTTTGCACCTATTAACATTACTCAGGAAAAATAAACCTTTGATCCCTACACTGGAACAATTCATGCTTTCTGTTGTCCTATACCTGCCCCTTCTTTGCCAGCTTCACACTGCAGGTCTGTCCTAACAAATCCTGACACATGATGAGTTGGGGAATTTTTCAGGTTAGATGTAATCTATGCACTGCTTAAAATGTTGACTCTCTGCCAAAGCCAAGGCTCCCTAGCGACTTCTGATTATTGGTTTTTTTTTTTTTTTAAATGTTGGTCATTGAAGTATATGTTTTGTTTAATAGTCTACAGAAGGCACCCCAGTAAAGTATAAAAAACAAGGCCTGTAAACAAGACTCAGCTTTAACTATATATGATTATGCAGACCAGCAAACAACCCCTCCCCCTTTACTTGTATCCCAATAATGGATAGACTTACTCAACACTAGGAGCACATAAAATTAATGATTTTCATGATAAGAAATGAATATGTACATAGGCATTGCCTCCATGGATTTGTGAAGAATTCCTAACCCTTATAGGACTGTTCTTGCAGACACATTACCCTACTCAGGTGAAACTGCCAGCTGTTGCACACAACTGGAAAAAGTTGATTCGCTTCTCTAAAACTGTCAGTTTTTACTATGCAGTTTTGTGGCAGGTAGATCTCTTGCATTAGAGAAAGCATGCAACTGACTTAGGTGCATTTGAACGCTGGCTTCAGCTAGCTTTGTTCTTTTGCAGGGCTGTTCACCCTGTATGTGTGTGTGTGTGTGTGCGTCCCCATTCCTCACATAACTTTGCAAGGAACTGACTAAAAAAAGCATAGAGGTCAATGGAGATGATCAGTTTTCACACAAGTTCCGAGAAACAAATGTGCAGAGATTCAACTGCCTAGTGCTAGGTTTCATGAGGTGCATTCCACTCCATCCTTTAATAACAACCCGCCTTCCATAAAACAGTAAAATTACGGTTTCTCAGTCAAGCAAGTAAGAGTTAGAAAGTAGTGGTGAGAAACTGGGCAAAGCTTCAGCATTCCCAAGTACCCAAGGCTCCAGTGGTGCATGGCTCAGCTTACGTAAGTCAGCTGTAAAGTCCAGCCCCACTGACATGGCAATTCCTTAGGAGTTAATTGAGGTAGAACAATGAGGATTCCCTTTTCTCCCAGCGCAACCCATTTCAGCAGGTCCTTGTAGCCAACCAGCTTCACCTGAAATAGCAACATACATTGTGCTTAGAACAGTGCCTTTTCAAAGTGCATATACTTGCAAAATTGACAGAAGAAATGTTGTGCCATAGCTACTTTATTATCCAATTATCCTTAAATGCCACTTAGCAACTGAATGAATGATAAAACAATGAATGATTTAAAGGTAGTAGAAAAACACTTGCAAGTAGATAATGTAAGTAATAAAGCTAGTGATGTTGGTTCTTGAGAAGTATTTAGGTCTGTAAAAGGTACATAAAACACTTTTCAGAAGTATTTGGGGGTGGGATTTGGGTCTAAGCAGGGCTCCAGGTACCACAGTACCCAGCTTCGCATCACACATTTCTGAAATGCCCATTTCCCATGGTGGAAGTTGTAGTCTGTCTTACAGAGTGCAGCCAGATACCTCGGAACAAAGCTGATCTGAAGAACCTCTCCACTAAAAATGCACAAACAGGTTTTTATGGTGAGACTCTTGTACCAGATGGTGAAATGCTGAAAATGATGGAGCAGCTGAAGACCAGTCTCTACCCCCGAGGAACAGGACTCTCTTGTGCACATATATTCTAGATGCCTCCACCATTCAAGATGCATCTACATCATTTCTGAAATTACTCTTTCTTCCTTACTACAGAGCTGTCTTGGCACTAATTTGATTATTTTCATGTGGAACTAGACCAGAAAAGACAGTTTAGAAACACCCTTAGTGCACTAAAGCAGCTGGCGGACACCCAAAGCCCGAGACCAGGACAGAGCTAAGTCATAGTGTGTCCCCACCTTGAATACACGGTGTTGACAGCAAGCCCTGAGCACCAGCTGTTCTGCTCTGTAAACCTGCTGCCATTGGGTTACGCTACTTGCTAGCCTAGGTGTGGCATTGGTGTCCTCAACCTCTGAACACCGCTTGCTCCAAGCCACACGTCAATCTGACTTCCTACTTAGCATCCCTGGGTGATGAAAACCTCTGTGTGCGTGCCCTTTGTGCAAGGCTTCGACCTGAAACTACTGCACCAATACAGTAATTGCAGTATCACTACAGTCACAAGGATGGCTATTTATAAAGAAAGGTCACGCTGAGTTAGAGTCTACACAGGAAACAGCAGGGGTGGTAGATTTTTTCCCTGCTCCTTGGCCTCTTTTTATGCTCCTTAGTTTGCAAGCTAAAACATATCCCAGCAACAACCCAGTCTAACTTTGTTTGTTGGAGACAGACCATCCCACTGGGAGGACTACGACAAGGAGGTCCCAGAACGAAAACAAACATTTTGCTGGGTCTCTTCCAATGTAGTCTGTCCTAAGAGTTACACATTCCCAAAGATGCCAGAAACTAAAAGAAATACTGATGGAACATGAAAAATCCTAGAGGTGTTTTCCTTCACAGTGTGTTCATTTCTTGCACTCTGTGTTAAAAGCCTCGCTGGTCTAAAGGGGGTGGGGGTGGGTGTTTTTTACCTGCGTTTCTCCAAGCTTAGCCTGTGGCTCACCAAGCACCAGAGTCCCAGAGACTGGCCAGCTAAGGAAGATAGCATTGACCTTGCCTTCTTCAGGGCTGAAAGTGTACCTGGTTGGAAACAGGGAGCAGAAATGCTTGTCAGCTTTTCCTTGTAAGTGTTCTGAAGCGATGTACAGAGTGCTTTCCAAGACTGGAAAAATGGATTTGAAAAGTCGGCATGAATTACATTTTCACACACATGACCATCTTTTCAGATAATTTATACCCTTTATTAAAGTACTGTTCCTTGAAAATACGTTCCAACAAACTAGAGGTAATAGAGTCTATTAAAGAACTGAATTTGAAAAGGTAAACATCTGTAGTAACTCTAGCAAGCATATGACGACTCACTGGTGCTCAGCCGTGTAGGAAGGAGGTACCTGCAGAGCAGGAGGAATCATTCACAGATAATTGTGGGTTATATTCAGAAAAATAATAATTCACATCTATACACAAACATACAGACATTCCACTAAAAAAAAAGAACCAAAATGCAACAAGAGTATGTGCAACAATCAAGCTTCCATCTTGCATAGTTAGTTTTTTTTAAATAATTTAATTTCAGCAGACATTGTCTACAGTATGTCCTTGGAAACCTCGCAGCATGCGTTTGAAGCATTCCTCCCTCCTTCCTTCACTTAGTTTCAACTTTTTATTGCTCTTGGAAATGGTTTTACTAAACAGTCAACAGTTCAGCATTTCAGGGCCAAAGCCAGACAGCCAAATCTTACTGGGAACAGGAGCAACAATGCCCAGTGAGGCAGAGAAGAGGGTCAAGAAAGATGAGGAGCTGCTGGAGAGTGTCCAGCAGAGGGTTATGAGGATGGTGAGGGGACTGGAGCATCTCTCCTATGAGGAGAGGCTGAGGGAGCTGGGCTTGTTCAGCCTGAAGAAGAGAAGGGACCTAATAAATGCTTATAAATATCTCAAGGGTGGGTGTCAGGAGGATGGGGCCAGACTCTTTTCAGTGGTGCCCAGGGACAGGACAAGGGGCAATGGGCACAAACTGAGGCACAGGAAGTTCCGTCTGAACATGAGGAAGAACTTCTTCCCTCTGAGGGTGACGGAGCACTGGAACAGGCTGCCCAAGGAGGTTGTGGAGTCTCCTTCTCTGGAGATATTCAAGACCCGCCTGGACAAGGTCCTGTGCAGCCTGCTGTAGGTGACCCTGCTTTGGCAGTGGGGTTGGACTAGATGACCCACAGAGGTCCCTTCCAACCCCGAACATTCTGTGATTCTGTGAAGACCAAAACCCTGATGGATCACCAAGGCATGAAGGCAGCTATGAGGCACAAAGGCAGAGGAGAATCCAGAGACTGGCTGAATTTAACGACCAAACAATTGCTGTTATCTTCCCATGCACTTGTACCTTAAAAAGACACACAGAACACGCTAGACTGATTTCTAGTTTGTTTCTCTCTGAACAGTGACACCAAGCATTTGTTTGTACAGATAAACACTTCACTGCAGTTTTATATTTCTGGATTCTTTTTTTTTTTTTTTCTTTTAATAGTTTCTGTTGCCAGCTATACTAAGCAGCAGAAGATTGCTAAGGGAATGCTTGCAAACTTCCCTTCAGCCTCAACATCATCCCCAAACTACGGTCTCTGACACGCGTCATCTACGTACACTTTTATGTGCAGTTACTTAAACTGACAAAAGGGTTAATTCCTTCACAGCACACAAAGCAAGCTGGTGATTTCTGCAGCATCAAGTCATCACAAATTGCACAATTCCACATACACTGCTGCTGCCTTGCGCAGCCTGCATTGTGATGCAGCAGCCTTACCACACTCCTGGCGTGACCGTGTCGTTCTGTGCTCTCCATGGTCTCGTTCCATAGATGGCTTCTCCGTTGACTTTCAGCCAGGCACCCATCTGCCTCAGGCGCTCCTCAAACACAACAGCGATGAGACCATCATGAGTGGGCCCGACATTCATCAAGAGATTTCCTCCACAAGACACTGTTTCTACAAGTTGCTGAAATGTTTTGAAACACATACACAGAGCATATGGTTACGGCTAATGAAATCATATATCTGAAGTTCTTTCTAAAGCCCGCCACATTGCTTCGGAACGATGAACTGAACGAGTTACATCACTGCTGCGTGTTTAGACTTCGGGGGTGATCCCAACAGTCAATACAAAACTTAAGCTTCCATAAAACAAAGCTCTGCTGTCAATTTTTATGGCACAAAACAGCCCAAAATACATTTTTGCACCAATATGTCTGATGATCTACATTAGAATCAGATCCTACAACTTTTTAACATTTCGGCTTCTGCAGGAATTTCATGAGGGTTTTACCAGTGGAACGGATAGGAGACGATTTCTCTACAGAAGAGGACGATAAGGCTAATCGATGCCAATTCATTTCTACTGAAGCTGAGAGAAGCAACTACTTCTTCCTCTATTTGATGCTCTCCCTAATTTACAGGGACATATGTAAAACACAAGGAAGCCTTCTAGAGAGTCCATAAATATTTGTGTTCACATCCACACTGCCCTCCAGAGATCATGCACAGAGATGCACAAGTCTGAGGAACAGAGAGCTGGAGACAAGCTACTGCATGAACTTGAGCCTTCTGTCTCTGAAAAGGGGTAACTCCAATTTGAAATTGTCCTTTGCAAGGACAGCACTAAGATTCAGATTAAGCAACGGTGACAAACAATCTTCCCATCACTAGCCAAATTTTGCAATTAAATGCACTGTATCTGCAAGATGAGTCTACCTTTCAACTCAGTTTTCCTCAACTTCAAGTATTTTTTTAATACTTTAGACTAGCAAAGGGAATCGGTGGTCTATTAACACCAGCTATCTGCATCTGCTAGTGTTTATCTATGTGTCTGTAATAAGTGTGTTGGTTTTGTTCTTTAAATGAAGTGGGATGAAGGGAAAGTTTCTAGCTACAAGGTAAAAAGACTTAATTAAGAGTTATAAACTGATCCTAGCTAGAAGAGGGAAAAGCTGTAGCCTTCAATCAGAATTTCCTAAACAGAAACTGTGAAACTGCAACTGGTTGCTTCTCATCAACTTAGAGGTGCAGTTACTAGAAAAACTTAGTAGAAAAGGTAATTGTGAGACTGTCCAGATCAGTCTTTGGCCAGTTACAAGGGAAACAGCTTCAAAGAAACTGACTGAGTTTTTGCTAGAGAACTTTTCTCTTAAGTCATTTCTATAAAATTAAAAAGAATTACACAGATACTACATCCTGCCAGTGTTAGGCTCCAAATGAACAGAATTAATTATTATTTCATCAATTCATTATTTAATTAAAATAATATTTTAAAATAAAAAAAAGATATGCAATTGAAATGTTATAAAGTGTCATAATCAGGAGGAAGAATCAGAAGTTGCAGGCAACTCCTTTGTCCCACCATACCTTCACCAAGTCCTCGATTGTGAGGTAATCGTCAAGCTGCGCGTTCCTCCTGTACCCCCATGACCTCTTGTCAATAGTCATACAGTTCTCCCACTTGTGAGGCAGGAGGTGGCCAGGGTTATACCGGTCACTGCAAGTGTAGAAGCCGCCGTGCGCACAGATGCTGCCAACTCCCCAGCGGTCATTGGTCACAACCGTGTCCCGGACTGGACTGGACACAGAGAAATTTTATCATTTTTATTCTAAAAAACACAGTCACAGCCTGTGTAATCCCTTCCCATACACCCCTCCCAGAAACTAACATTTAGGATGACTTCTGTACTATTAATTTACTACAATCAGATTAAGTGCAATTTCAGGAATCCTATGCTTATCCTTCGTTAACAAAAGGTCCAGATTAGCATTTCTTAGGGAAATACGCTGCAGCCTTTCACAGGAGGCCTGCCAGAAACCTGCCTGCACTTCACATCCACTGCCAGATGTTCAGTCTGCGATGACAACTGCGTACCTGTATTCTCAGATTAACCTGCTATCCCGTTTGTCTGTGCAGTAGACAATACTTAGAGAAGAATATGATTAGGTAGAATAGCCAATACCATCTTAACTGACTAATCTGCAAATGTGGTTAGAAAAAGCATGAAACAGTCTTTTTCTCAAGCAAGCTTTGACAGTTCTAGGGAAGACTTGGATTTTCTATTTCAGGAAAACAAATTTTCAGTTAAGTCTTCATAAGTAGAGGTAACAGGTTCCACAGAACATACAGAAAATGAGACAAACCAGACAGAGCATAATTTCAGACAAAGAGCTAAACGAGCATCATTGTGTACCTGTCATTATACAGCCAAGCCAAGAAACCAGTGCTGTTCCAGTAAGTATCTGGTGCATTTCCATTCCCATCAGACCAAATTATTTCTGGTTGGTATTTTGTCACAATTTCATAGAGTTCTGGTAATGACTTACTGCTTGGAAACTTTCTTGTCTTAAAGACATTGGCGGCATCCTCAAGGTAGAGAGGATTAAACCATTCGAACAGGGAGTGATATAACCCAAAACGCAAGTCAGTCCTGTTTCTAACAGATGCTGCGAGTTCACCCACAAGATCTCGTTTTGGTCCCACATCAACAGCATTCCAGTTCCAAGAATATTTGGACCCCCACAAAGTAAAGCCTGAAAAAAGAAAAATCAAAGGCTAAGAAAGGGAAGCAGAAGAAGGCAAGTTATAGTTCCTGCTTCTGGAAAGCAGTTTGCAAGTGTGTTGCAAAAACCAGATATAAAATAGTAAAAATCATATATGTAATATATTGTCATTGTGGTATAAAGTATGCCTATAATCTGTTGATCCACAATGACAGCAGTCATAACATCAGAACACCATACCAGATATGTTTATGTATTTATTTTTTTATACATACACATATACATTTAAATTCTGACATACATAAAAATTCAATTTTCCAGTTCTGTACTGCTTAGGGTAATTATTCCTGCTCCTTAATTATTTACTCCATTCATATGTCCCAATGAAATTAACCAAAAATACAGCAACTTTTGAGGCATCTACATTTTCACCAAAGGTATCAAATGTTGAATGTGTATTCACAGTTCACAGCTGGAAGATAAAATGCTTTCTCAGTTGCAGAATGCACAAGCTATCACTTGCATTCACAGACAATTCTCCTTCCTTCTGTTTAGATCTTATGCAACTGTTCACTTTTCATCTGTCTTGACATTTAAAGCAGCTCAACCAACTACTTGGTACATGTATATAAGCAGAGTGCAAAAACTCCTGCAACAGCTTTTAAAATATCAGCATTAAATATCAGGAAGGATTTAACGTTACAGACACCCAGCAATCCAGCACTAACGCTTACCAGTACTACCACACTGCAGACTTCAACCACCACCAGAGGAGCCCCATTCTCACCTTCAAACTGCTTTATACTCATTGCCTAATGAATCTTGCAATGTTTTTGTTAACTGGATACATGTAATTGTGTCAACTAGACAAATAAACCAAAAATTCATCCCCAAGGCTACAGGACAGACTGAATGAATCATGGTTCTTTTGAAGGCACTGGGAACTGCACCACGGGCATCATCAGGAAGATGATTTTCTGTGTGTTAGAGCTGCAATTAAAACTCACAAGTTACTAGGTGCCAGGCTTGAACCCACATCTCCCCAAACAACATTCACTAGATGTACTGTCATATTGCACCTTAGTATTTTATACTTTCTTTGCTACTATGTTTCCTTCCAACCACTTTCTTTTCCTTTACTTTTCTCTGCAGAGTATCTTAAAATTACAGATTCAAAACACAATCATGCCTGTAAAGTTACAGACCTGGTTCACGGTCTTGGCTTCCACGCACTGCATCAGGAAGAGCTATACCCTGTGTACGTTTCCAAGCCTGAAGTTGACTCCCGGAACTTAATCCTAAATCCCTTGGAGAAACCCACAGAGCTCTTTAACTGCCTGTGCACAACAGCTCTCCATACATGAAGCAGTGCAGAATTCACTTCTCTGGTTCCTTGAGTAATAAACTGCACAATAAAAAGTAAGCTATGGCTACTGCAGGAAGCTCAGCTGCCCCCACTGCTCCAGGCTGTCTCACCTACAGCAACAGAACAACGGAACAAAGCTATTTCTCCTCCTATGCAAGCTTCCTGGCCACAGCATTTGTGCAAGAGTCAGGAAAACGAACCCACACTGCTTGAGTGGTTTTTCCCCTCTTTGGCTGGGCTGGGGCAGGTAAGGTTGCCTGGCTTTCTCTGTCTCTCTTAGCAGACAGGAAAGCCACCTGGATTTTTCTTCTGTTGACAGAAATGCAACAACTGCTAACATTCAGAAACCTTCCACTTACCTTCGTGATGTTTTGAAGTTAAGACAACGTATTTTGCACCTGAAGCCTTCAGAATATCTGCCCACTGGTTGGGATCAAAGAATTCTGCTGTAAACTGTGGCCCAAAGTCTTCATAAGTGAACCCAGCTGGGTAATTTGCCTCCATGAATTTCACGTAGGGCGCTCTCTTTTCCTTCTGCCAGTACCACCTAACAAAATAAAGAACAAAAATATGTCTGTTGGTGTATTTTTAGATGAAGAAAAGACAATTGACACCATCAGCTCCTATTTGCGTTCACACTGACAGGCACATGCACTGGAAGTGCACGACACTGGCAATAGCGTAAAACTGCTTCAGAACGTAAACAGCATCAATTATGAAAGATTTCCTTTTCTCTGTCCCCTTTGCCCACACTCTGCTTCTTTCAAGAACTCCACTTCGGAAAGATCCCAGGATTTCATCTGGAGCAATGTCACACAGCAACCATGCCTGGCAGTCTCATTCAGCAGCCAAATCCTGACACCGTACCAAATGGCACAGGTACACGGTCCACATAAGCAGCTCAGGTCCCATGAGGAATGCACTTTTTCTGGGCTAACAACTTGCCCTCCTCAAGTCTCACACAGCAGCCATTGGGCATCTCTGCTCTGCCCCCCAAGCCGCATGTCCTGCAACCCACAAACACAGAGGCCAGCAGCTTCACCTCTCTGCTGGTACAGAGCCCGGCGAGTGACCCGATGTGCGAGCAGGTGCCCGCAGTCCCAGAGCAGGAGAGCGCTGTGACTGCAGAGCACCGCAGCCGTTGCACCCATGAGGCTCTGAAGCCACGGCACCCTGCTAGACAGAATGTCCTCCAGCAACCACCTGCTTCCGCAAGAGCCCCACACGCCTTCGCCACAGGCCCTGGCACGCAGGCACACATCTACCTCAGTCCACTGGAGCAGTGCACACAGATTTAGTAACTAGCAGCAAAATTAAGCCGATGATCTCTTTTTGCATCCCACCTAGCAAAGGCAGGGACAGTTTCTGTCCTGTGTTTCCCCAGCACATCAATTCCCAATCCAGTACTGTCACTATTCCAACAGGTCTCGCCCACAGCAAGGCTGGGAGCTCCGCTCTCTGGTCCGAGGGTGGCCTCTCACCCTCATCCTGGGCAGATAAATCACTAATACAGCACTATTTATTTTCAACCTGCTCCATCCCTCCCCTACCTAGCAATGAAACAGGAGCTCCAGAAACAGCATGCAATAGTCCTTACTGCAAAAAAAGCCTTACTGCTGCAGACCATCTAACAAGCACATGTTGTTGTGACTGCTAATAGTTATGGGAAAAGGGTCTGAAAGCATTCACCTTTCTCTGAATGAAGCCAAACAGCAAAAATCCTGTTGGCAAATTCAGACATAAACGAAAACAATTTGAAAGTGAAGAAATCAAACAGGCCAGAATCTGAATATTCAAAATGTGTTTCTCTCTCCTGTCCTGAGCTAGACTCTGACCTCAGTAACTTACAGACATTGTTGTAACCCTCCCAAGCTGACTTCAGCATGAACAAACACAATCTTTAGCAGTCAGTGGGGGAAAAAGAAAAAAAACCAAACCAAAACAAACAAACCACAGAAGAAAGGCTGAGACAGCCTCACTCCATGAAAGAACCTGAAAAGAATCCCCTCTGACTTTAAAGTATGTAATTGCATAAAGAAACAAATAACATCCTTGCTTCTCTTCCTCTGTCACGCTGTTTGCTAACAATGTGAGAATTTCTACTTTGACAGGATTAGGTTCTAGAAACATTCTGGCCAAGGTTATGCAGCTCTGAGGGAAGGAGGACAGGCTGACAGATACCAGAGTTTGTGACCTTCTGTCTGAAGCTGCTGACACAGCACCTCAGTCATCTTGAGGGCACATGCTGCCGGAAGGCCCTGAAGCAGCTTCACACCCACATGTGCTTAGGGATAGGAGGCAACAAGGAAATAAAATACAACTTCATCAACTACATTAGAGTGTTCTGAGGAGTTTTTAGAACAACAAAAATGAACACTTGAGTGTATACCCCTGTCAGAGCACAGCACTCGGAGCAAGGCCTGAGCACAAAGCTAGCTTCCCCCTCCACCTCAAAAGGCATTAATCAGGAAAGGGAGCCCACATTAAAAAAATCTCCTGAAACCCTTGAACATGATTCTGAAAAGAATTGGCCAAATATTGCCTTCAGAAAACCGTGGTTTGTTTATATCTATGTTGGTTTGTTTTCTGAACATTGCACTTAAGCTTTACCATGGCTCTGCCAGAGAGCTGCTGTTACCTTCACGTCGTAAAGGATAACGTGACCCACCTGGAGTCGTACAGGAAGTATCTGGTAGAGCATGGGAAAAAGACAGCAAAAAAAAAATGCTTACAGCCAAAGGGCCTGAGCCAGTGAACACTTTGAACCTTTAAACTGAAATTATTTGAAGCATCAGAGCTTTAGGGTCTCTTAAGCGGAAAGTACTCTTTAACAAAAGTAGTAATTAAAACGAAGAAAACCATCAACAGCACGAAACTCATACAGGAAAACCGCGGGCAGTTTGCCCAGCAAGTGCAGTTATGACAGAGGAAGGAGGGACAGACAGAGGGACTGACGGACCCCCGCGCTCCCCACAGACGGTGCCGCGGCCCCCCAGCAAGAGCTGCCCGAGGGGAGCAGCTGGGAGACCCCCACGGCCGCAGAGCCTGGGCAGAGCCCCTCTCC